GGCAGGACCAGGGGCAGCACCGGCGCCATCTCCCATCTCTGCCCGAGGGACAGCAGAGCTGTCAGGAGCTGGGGTTGGCCGTGGCAGGATGCTGCGTCAGCCCGGCCCGGCTTGAGCTGGGCTAATGCCACCCTGACCCCAATACCCTGGGCATCCTCCCGCCACAGCCTTAATAACCCGCCGCCCCGGGTGCCCAGCCAGTCCCAGTTCGGGATGCCTCGGCTCTGCCCCTGAGGGAAAGCCCCGCCCCCGGGCAAAGGGCCGATTTCGTGACCCCGCCTCTGCCCCCTCGCGGAAGTGGGGAGGGGCTGGCCGGTTCAGCCCCCCAGAGGCTAGGGGCTGGGGGCGGAGACCTCGGGCCCCGTGCTCCTTCCCGGGTCCCAAGGGAGTCCGAGGGCCAGGATCCCGGAAGGGCCTGGAGGGTGGTGGCCGGAGGGGACCCGGGGTGGGGGGGGAGGTCAGAGGGTTGGCCCCGCCCCCGTAACGAGCCTCGAGGCCCGGACAGGGAGGGGTTACCAGGCGGCCCGGCCCCCCCCTCGTCCCGCCCCCCCTCCCGCGCTTCCTGGCGGCTCCGCGTCCGGGGCCTGTTTGTGCTGCGGCGCTGGGGCCCGGGACGGCCCCGCCACCCCACCCCCGGGAGCCGAGAGCGGCCCCGGGAGAGTCCGAGGCCCCGGAGAGCCCTAGAGCCTGCGGCCCCCTCCCCACAGCGCCCCCTCCAGGCCCTTTGCCTGCGCCCGACAGCGCCCCCGGGGGGGTGGCTCGGCTCCCTCGCGCGCGCGCCCCGGGGTGCTTCCCCTTCCCCTCTCCCTGGCCATGGCCCCCGCGGCTTAGACGCCTCCTCCTCCGCCGCCGCCGCTCGGAGCAAGCCGGGGGCCGGATGGACGGGGCCGGGGGGCCCGGTGAGTACGGGGCGGGGCGGGCGGCGTGCCCCTTCCCGGAGCGCCGGCCGCTCTGGCGCTGCCATTGCCCGACGGCTGTCCTGGGCGTCCCCGCGTGCTCCTTGGCCCCGGGGGCTCCAGCATCCTCCACTGTTCCTCAGGCCGCTCCCCCTAGTTACTTGGGTCCTTCAACTGTCATTTCGGACTTCGCCAACGCCATCCTGCCTCCCGTGTTACTCTGGGCCCCTGCAAAGTTTCCGAACCTCCTGTGTTAGCCTGGGCTTCTTTTCCTGCTTTGTTGGGTCTTTTTACTCCTGACCTCCTCTGTTACCCTGGAACCTTCGCTGGGACCTCTGCTCTCCGCTGCTAACCCTCTCCTGTCACTCCGGACCTCTTCTCTTCTGAGTGCTCAGGATGACTGTCCTGAGTCCCCCGCTTCTCTCCTGGTGCTCCCTCGCAGTTTCGCTGCCTTCCCTGGAGTCCTGCTGTTCCTCTGGGCTTGGGCCCTGTCGTCCCTCATCCAGCACTGCGCCTCCGTCTGTGGTTCCCACGTTCCTCGGCAGAACTCCATATTTCTCCCCTGGTACTCCATGGTACTCCCTGTCTTTGCGGAGGCTGGGACAGGCAGCAGGAAGGGATCTCTGCCAGGTTCCTCGCCTGCCCTGCCAGAAGGAGGCCCTTGATCCTTTTCCCATCGTCTCCTCCCCTCTGGGAGCGCGTCCAAGCCTGGAGTTGCTTGGGGCGGGGCGGGGGGGGCGGGGGGCGCTATTGGACAGATGCAAAGTTAGGGGGGGGAGAGAATCCCCTCAAGCCTTTCCCCAGGTGTGTGTGTGGGGTGGCGGGGGGGTGGGGGGGGGGTGGCATGCTGACAGCTTCTTGCCCCTTTCCCAGGTGAGGGCCCGGCTCAGGAGGCCCTGCAGTCCTTGAGCCGGCGGCTTCAGGTGCAGGAGAAGGAGATGGAGCTGGTGAAGGCAGCCTTGGCAGAAGCTCTTCGCCTGCTGCGGCTGCAGGCGCCCCCCACCTCCTTGCAGGACCCTGGCACCCTGGGCCCTCCGAGGGGCAGGTATGCACGTGGCCACACCCTCCTCCTCCTCCTCCTCCTCCTCGATGGGGCCTCTAGGGCCATCAGGTTGATGAACTGTCTCCCCAGCAGCCCCGCAGCCCCCCCAGGACTGCCACCCACATGCAGCCCCTCCTTGGTGAGTCGAGGCACCCAGACGGAAGCAGAGGTGGAGGTGGAACCATCCCCTGGCCCCCCCGGGCTGAGCAACGGGCCCCCAGCTCCTCCGGGGGGCAGTGAAGAACCTAGTGGGACCCAGTCTGAAGGAGGGGGCAGCAGCAGCAGTGGCACGGGCTCCCCTGGCCCCCCGGGGATCCTCAGGCTGGCTCAGCCCCCGCAGCGCACTGACACGTAAGTGTCCTGTGGCTGAGGCTGGGAGGGGAGGGCAGATAGGGGAGCCCAGGGAATGACATTCACCTGCTCACTGTGCTCTGCCCAGGCCCCGGAGAAATTCTTCCTCCTCATCCCCCTCAGAACGGCCTCGCCAGAAACTCTCCCGGAAGGCAGCTTCCTCGGCCAACCTGTTATTGCGGTCAGGGAGCACAGAGAGGTGGGCGAGGCTCCCCCTGCCTGCCCCACCCCCCACCCCACCCCAGGCTCAGGTTCTTGACTTTCCACATCCCTCACCTGGCTTCCCTGGGTGGGGTGGGGGGCCTCATTGCCCAACAGGAGGAAAGGAACAAGCGCTCTTGGGGCGCCTGCTATGTACCCGGCACGGTGCCAACCCCTCGACCTCCTCCACCTCATTCAGTCCCCACGACATCTTTGGGGGGTAGGTGGTCTCATGCTGTTCATTGGCCAGGTGAGGAAGCAGGCTCAGAGAGGGTAAGTGGTTTGCCTGGGGTCACACAGCTAGAGCCAGGATTTCAACGCAACTCTTCCTGACTCCCGTTGCCCCTTCCCTCCCCACCGTATCACAGCATCCCTTTCAAGTTCCCAAGAGGGTTTTCCAAAAGTATTCATGGTTTCCATGGGTGACTCCTCAGAGTTCAACTCTCTTCCCCCACCCCAGCCTACCATGCTTTAGAGAGCAAGGGGGAAAGCCCAGTGGATTGTCTCAGAGTGTGTACATACAGGCTTCAGGACACCTGACTGTTCATTCTCATCCTTGGCCTCTGCTTTATTCTCGGAAGAGAGATTGTCATCTTATTATCCTCTAATGACAGCGATCTCTGGAATTCACCTTTCACTTTCCCCTTGAGGGATAAGGACTTTCCTGCTGACCTCTCAGATCCTCAAGAGGCAGGGCTGATGTACCTTCTGGAGTCACTATGGGCCCATTTTACAGATGGAGAAATAAAAAAGTTGATAGGCAAAGGCTTGGGGGTCTGGAGGAAAGTGTCACCCTACACTGCCTCTTACAGCCATGCTTGGCCCCTTTAGTCTTCTCACACTTTACACGGAGTCCATCTACTCCAGAGCCCTCGCTGCTCACGATACAAACTTAAAGTGTGCAGAGGTGACTGTGATCTCTAGGGTAATCTCCTTTCTTGTGTCCTGCCCCTCCTCAGTTCTGTCTTGGGACCTGACCGCAGTCCCTGTGCTTTTCTCTTTGCCCAACAGCCGTGGGGGAAAAGACCCCCTCTCCAGCCCAGGGGGTCCTGGCTCTCGGAGGAGCAATTACAATTTAGGTATGTCCAGGTAGATCTGGAAGAACTTGGATGATGGGGTTGGGGCTACAGCCCCAGGAGCTGTTTGGGGGTGGGAGCTGTGAGGTATGGTGGTTGGAGCTCTGCCCTGACTTTCCTAGCAGGGAAGCTGCAGGACTGTGGTTGACAACTGCTCCTTTTCTCTGTAGAAGGCATCTCAGTGAAGATGTTCCTCCGAGGCCGCCCCATTACCATGTACATCCCGTCTGGCATCCGCAGCCTGGAGGAGCTGCCCAGCGGCCCACCCCCGGAGACCCTCAGCCTTGACTGGGTGTATCCTTCCCCCTTCACCCCCCCTGGCAACCACCCTTGCCATCATGAAACCTCCCCACCCCCTGTTTTTTAGGGTTTCCTCCTGGGTCTGCAAGGAGAGGGAGACCTCTGAATCCTCCCCTTCTACCTCCTGCCAGTGGCGCTGCTGGTTGGAGCTCGTTCTTTCTCCTCTTTTCCTCACTGTGCCCTTGATGCAACCCTTTCCTTGACTGTGATCCCCACTCCAGGTATGGGTACCGGGGTCGTGACTCGCGCTCTAATCTGTTCGTGCTGCGCTCTGGGGAAGTGGTCTACTTTATCGCCTGTGTGGTGGTGCTGTACCGGCCCGGGGGAGGCCCCGGGGGCCCTGGAGGTGGTGGCCAGAGACATTACCGGGGGCACACGGACTGCGTTCGATGGTGAGGGTTCCAGGGCTGGGGAGTGGGCAGCTCTAGGTGTGGGGAGGGCAGGCTTGGCAGAAAGAGGGTCTTGGGTGGATGTGGAGAAGCAGGAGAGGAGAGTGGGCTTGCTGCTCTGCAGGCCCAGGGACGGTGTCCTGGGTGGTCTTGAGAGACCGACCCCCTTCCCTAGAGTGTCTCCTCCCCCACTTAGCCTGGCTGTTCACCCTGATGGTGTGCGTGTAGCCTCAGGACAGACAGCCGGCGTGGATAAAGATGGGAAGGTAAGACAACGGTCAAACATCAGGGTGAGATCCCAGCCCGGCCCTCCTTCACACCCCTGACTCCTCCTCCTCCACCAGCCCCTGCAGCCTGTGGTTCACGTCTGGGACTCCGAGACGCTGCTGAAGCTGCAGGAGATTGGACTGGGGGCCTTCGAGCGGGGTGTGGGGGCCCTGGCCTTTTCAGTTGCGGTGAGCTGGCCCTGGCGCCTCGAGGCCCCCATTTCCTTGTCTGGGAATCCCCTTCTTGTAGTTCACCAGGAAGCCTCAGAAGTCCTGGCCTTCCTGAGCCCTGCCCAGCTGGTTCTCCTAAGAGACACGTGGCACCTTCTGCTCTCTCAGCCTGTCATGGCGCCCCTCACCTCCTTTAGGCCATGAACCCCACGACCGCCAGGCCTCACTCAGCCCCTCCGGTGTCCTCTGTCCTCAGGATCAGGGCGCTTTCCTCTGTGTGGTGGATGATTCCAACGAGCACATGCTGTCGGTGTGGGACTGCAGCCGGGGCACGAAGCTGGCTGAGATCAAGGTGAGGTGTCCAGGGGGCCTGGCAGGGTGCTGGGCGGGGTGGGGTGCACAGAGCTGCAAATTTCCCAAGCCCGAACCTCCCTTCTGGCCAGGTCCCCTGGAGCAAGCCTCCTAGCCTCTCCTAGGCTGTGAAGTGGGGACCACAGAGGTTCTGACCTCACGAGGGATGTGTTAGGCATTAGTGAGTGACTGAGAGTGGCATTCTTAGGGGACCAGGGCCTTGGAGGAAGGGTTGTCCTGAGGATTCTGGACCTCAGCGGACCAGTCATCAGGATGCCAACTGAAGAAGTCTGGTAGAATGAAGGTGTACAGGGCTGGGGGTGGCTGAATCTAGTATCTTCCCTTCAGAGTACAAATGACTCAGTCCTCGCCGTTGGCTTCAACCCTCGTGACAGCAGCAGCATCGTCACCAGTGGGAAATCCCACGTCCACTTCTGGAACTGGAATGGTGGAACAGGGATTCCTGGGAACGGGACCCTCACCAGGAAACAGGGTGTCTTTGGGGTGAGGCATGGATGGGGGCGGGATGCGGGGGGAGGCAGAGTGCAGATGAAAGCATTGGTCTGTGTACTGTAGACCCTAATGCTACCCAACTCGCAGTGGTCCTGTGACTTGTAGCCTTTGCCCTACCCTTCGACCTCTGCTCTCTGCTCGCCTCGCCCCTAGAAATACAAGAAGCCCAAGTTTATCCCCTGCTTCGTGTTCCTCCCGGATGGAGACATTCTCACTGGGGACTCAGAGGGGAACATCCTCACCTGGGGGCGGAGCCTCTCGGATTCCAGGACCCCAGGCAGGGGCGGGGCCAAAGGTACTGTGAGGTGGGGTGGCATCCTGAAAGGCTAGTTCCCCAGAGGGTCTGTGAAGACAGGAGAGGATTTCCCATCCTTTTACCTGGGGAGTTGATGGGCTCTGTCTGAGGGTGGGGCTGTCTAGGCAGCCAGAATAGAAGGGTAGTGGGTAGCATGGCAAAGGGAGGGGGCTGGGGCTTTGGAGTCTGCCAGGTCCTGGGTTCACCTCTAGTTCTGGCCTTTAGGAGGTTACCTCACTTCTTTGAACCTTGGTTGTTCAGTCTGTAAAGCCAAGGATCAGAGACAGCATTCAGTGGGCACTTAGCAACTGGGAGTCATTACTCTATTGTGACCGCCTAGGCTGCTCTTGTTCCCTCCTTCCCTGCACCCTACAAGCATGACCACCCGGACTTTGCCAACAGAGACCTATGGGATTGTGGCCCAGGCCCACGCTCATGAAGGTTCCATCTTCGCCCTGTGTCTCCGGCGGGACGGGACCGTGCTGAGTGGTGGTGGGCGGGACCGCCGGCTGGCCCAGTGGGGGCCCGGGTTGGTGGCCCTTCAGGAGGCGGAGGTGACGGCTGGCCTGGGGTCAAGGGAAGGAGGGGGATGAGGAATGGGCGGGGGCACCTGACGCTCTGCACCCCCCTGCAGATTCCTGAGCACTTCGGGGCCGTGCGGGCCATTGCAGAGGGGCCTGGCTCTGAGCTGCTGGTGGGCACCACGAAGAACGCGTTGCTGCGGGGAGATCTGGCCCAGGGCTTCTCCCCTGTAATCCAGGTTGGGGGGTCAAGGGTTTCGGGGAGCAGGGAGGGAAGAGCTGTAGGGGAGGGGCAGAGATGACAACCTGATCTCCGCTGCAGGGTCACACGGATGAGCTCTGGGGGCTCTGCACACATCCCTTCCAGAACCGTTTCCTCACCTGTGGCCATGACCGGCAGCTCTGCCTCTGGGATGGGGAGGGCCATGCGCTGGCCTGGAGCATTGACCTCAAGGTAGAGAGCTCTGTGTCCCCGGATCCTCGCTGTCACACCCACCGTGACTTCTGTGGCCCCCACTCCTTCCCCAACATCCTCTTCCCTTTTGCTCCCAAAGGCAGCCACCTTGCACTGGTGTGACTGTACTGACTGCTAAATTATTTCTTCTTCTGTACTGATGGTGCCAGTGTCCCCGAATACTGTCTGCCCCCCAGCCCCTAGACCTCTTGAGCCAGCGACTAATGGTTAATCTCCAGCACAGCTGGGGGTATCAGTTCTGGTGACTAAGCGTTTTGAGTAGCACCTCTGTTTAGGCTCCAGAGGCACCCTGCCTGCCATCCTAGGTCTCCTGTCCCTCTCCTCCTTGGAAGGGGGGAGGCTTTGCTGTTGTTTCAAGGTGACAAGGTATCCATCTTAGTTCCCTCACTTGAACGGCATCTTCTTGAATTCACCTTCTCCCCTCTCCCAGGAGACTGGTCTCTGTGCTGACTTCCACCCCAGTGGGGCAGTTGTGGCCGTAGGACTGAACACAGGGAGGTGAGAGGGAGCCAGAACTCCTGGGAGGGGAAAGCAGGAGGTATGGGAAGGGTTTCTGGTAATGGGGGGGCGGTGGAGGACTGTGATCGCTGCCTGTTCAGGAGCCCCAACTGCACCCTCCCACTCCTCAGTGCTTTTGCCTGCAGCCTGGGTCTCCCTTGCTTTCCTGTGGCAGCTGTCATCACACCCTCCCCCGTCCACTCCCCCTCCTCTGGGAGTGGAGGAGGTGGCAGCTCCTGATAGAGGAGCAGTGGGGATGGGCGGGGCATAGGGAAGTGACAAGCTTACAGAATCCACAAAGCCCTGTCTTTGGGCCCTTGGACTCCTTTTCGAAAGGTATCAGGAGCCCCTCAGCTTTTATCTGCCCTTAGCCCCTTTCCACTTCCCAGCATATGAATGCAATGGCAACCTCTCTGCCTGGCAGAGAGGCAACCTTTTGGTGTCTCTGAGGCTCTCTGACTTGCCAACCTGCACCCTGCTCGGGACAGGTATCCTCACACCTGTTTTCCACCTCCTTCCCTTCCAGGTGGCTGGTTTTGGACACAGAGACCAGAGAGATCGTGTCTGACATCACCGATGGCAATGAGCAGCTCTCAGTGGTTCGGTACAGCCCAGGTGGGAGCCACCTCCACCCCGGACCTAGACTCATCCCTGGCCCTTCCCTCTCTGAGTGACTGTCTTTGTAGATGGGTTGTACCTGGCCATCGGTTCCCATGACAACATGATCTACATCTATAGCGTTTCCAGTGATGGTGCCAAGTCCAGCCGTTTTGGCCGCTGTGTGGTGAGGAAGCTGGGGTGGAGGGTGGGGCATTGCCATAGCAGGTAAACTAATGCCCTTCTGGTGGGGGGGCGGGGGGCGGGAATGGTAGCTGCATTTTTAGTCTCTTGATCCTTGCTCCCAGGGTCACTCCAGTTTCATCACTCACCTTGACTGGTCCAAGGATGGGAACTTCATCATGTCCAATTCTGGGGACTATGAGATCCTTTACTGTGAGTAACAGTAGGGGAGGGCATGAGGAGAGGGGAATTGGGGTGGGTTTTATTTATGTGTGTGGGCTCTTGTTTCGGAGGGGATGAAGGAATTGTGGGGGAGCTCCCAGTAGAGGGACAGTCAGATAGAGGGGTTGGAGATGAGTTTATACACATAGGAGAAATGTCATTTGGACAGAAAAACCACACACACAGTTTAACACATGTCTTGTTCCCACCAGGCCTTAAGAGAGTTGAAAAATGTACTAGGAAAAAGATTGTTTTGGAAAAGTTTCTCAGGACAGGTGTGGAGGGGTTGACTTATCTAGAGAGGAGAACTTCAGATGAGAACTCGGGAAGCACAAGGGGCTGGGTTTTGCCCTGGGCTGAGGGCTACCACTCTGACCAGATCACACGCGGTGGCCCCAAGCCAGTCTTTCCAATTTGGTCTCCTATGTCATCCTCCCCATGGAAGGCAGGGTGAGAACTGAGCTGGGTGGGCTCCCTCTCCCCAGGGGACGTGGCTGGAGGCTGTAAGCTGCTGAGGAATCGCTATGAGAGCCGAGACCGGGAGTGGGCCACCTACACCTGCGTGCTGGGCTTCCATGTCTACGGTGAGCAGGGGCACCGTGCCGCGGAACCTTGCGGGAGCGTGGGGGGACAAGATGCAGCCCGCCTGGGGCGCGGAATGCTGGACATGTGTAGGGGGTGGACGTCAAGAAACTGGCAGATCCAACCCAAGAGGCCCCCCGCCCGCCCCGGCCGGCCCTCGGGACTGGGAAGGATTGCCTGGAACGTGGTGGGTGGGTGGCCGGGCTGCCTGAGCTGGGGAGGGAAATGGTGCAGCTCTGGACCGCGGGTGGGGGCGGGGAGGTCGGGCTGAGGCCGGCTGCTGTGATAGGCGTGTGGCCAGATGGCTCGGATGGAACCGACATCAACTCCCTGTGCCGCTCCCACAACGAGCGCATCGTAGCCGTTGCCGATGACTTCTGCAAAGTGCACCTCTTCCAGTACCCGTGCGCGCGCGCCAAGGTGAGGCCTCCCGGGGCCTCCGGGGCCGGGCGGGCGGCCGGGGTTCTGCGGCCGCTGTAGCTCCACTTCTCTCCGGCCCAGGCGCCGAGCCTTGTGTACGGTGGTCACGGCAGCCACGTGACCAGCGTCCGGTTCACGCACGACGACTCGCACCTCATCTCGCTGGGCGGCAAGGACGCCAGCATCTTCCAGTGGCGAGTGTTGGGCGCTGGGGGCACGGGGCCGGTGCCCACCACGCCCTCTCGAACCCCCTCCCTGTCCCCTGCCTCCTCTCTTGACGTCTGACCCCTGCCGGACGGGACCCACCGGCCCTGCAGTGTGGCCCTGCCCCACCCAAATCCCCCAGGACCGGGGCGACCCTGTCCTCGACTTCGAGACATTCCCAAAAGCGCATTTCCCCGGAGGGGGCGAGCGGCACCCCTGCACACACTGTATAGACCCGCTGGCTGAGCCGGGCAGTCCCAGCCTGGGCCCTGACTCCCGCTGCCTGCTGAGGGGCAATAAACCAAAAGCAAAGTCGCCTCCCGGTCCTTTTGTGGGGCGCGGCTGGGCGCCTCGGGGCTTTATGAGGGTGGGGAGGAAGGCTAAGGGGAATGCGGAAAAGGTGAGGGAGGGTGGACTGTTCATGCAAATAACAGGCAAAGCCGCTTGCAAATAACTGCGAAGCGCAAAGGCGCTTCAAGTCTTTCGCGGCCGCAGGCGTAGCTGCAAGACTCCGGCTAGCAGAGAGTTAAGCCCAACTCCTTTCCCCGCCCTCGGAGGCGGGGCCGAGCCGCAACGGAAATAGCCGAGTGCCGGGCCGCGGTTGGCCGGAGGGAGCCGAACTTCTTCCGGAAGTAGCCGAGCTTGCGGTCTTGCTCTCCGACCGAAGCCGAGTGCTGGGCCTTGTTCTCCGGATCCGCCGAAGGTGTTCCGGAAGGAGGCGAACCCCGAGGCGGGCCGGCAAGTCTTCGCGGCGGCCCTCAGAGTCCTACGTCTGGTGCGGCTCGGCGAGGGCGGGGGTAGCTGCAGCCTGCCTCCGGTCCGGCGGGATCCGAGCTCGTTCCGGAAGAAGCCGAGCGGACCGGCGCCGGTCTCGGCGTCCCGGGCGTGAGGCTATAGAGGCGGCGGCGACAGCGCGGGCCGGGATGAGCCGCGACGGCTGAGGCTGCGGAGGCGCCGGCTGCGCGGGCCCGACTGAGACTTCTGCGAAGCGCCGGCCCCGCGCTCAGGGCTTCGCTTCGAGTCCTGCCCTCGGGAGCCTTCCGGACCCCTTTGTGCGGCCGGAGGCGGCGGCGGGAACGGCCATGGCGGCCAACATGTACCGAGTGGGGGGTGAGTACCGGGCTTTAGGGGCTTCGGGACTCGGGGCGGGAGAGGTTGGGCGCTGGGGTCAAGAGTCTCGGCTCCCAGCGGCGCGGGGAACCGCGTCTGGGGCGGCGTGGTCCCGAGCGCGGACCGGAACCGGAACCAGGAGCATGGGGAGCGAGGGCGCGGGGATCGCGACACGGCCGGGCTCCGAGACTCCCGGGGAGGCTGCGGGCGGCCCGACGGCACTCTCAGGGCAGCGTCCGGGCCACCGGGGTCGTGGAGTGGGCTTGCGAAAGTGGTTCCAAACGGGCTGACAGGGCAGGCAGGGGGCGCGAAGGGCCGGGGCGACTGCTTGGCCACCGACGGGGGAGCGGCCAGGAGGTTTCCTCTTCCCGGGCGTTATTGTGCGCCTCGGTTCGCAAAGGTGGGGGCCCTGTGTAGGAGTGAACAATTGCTCTCTTGACCGAGACTGGGATGCAACTCCATCGCTGAGTTGTGGGGACTGCTGGGGAACCCCCCTGCTTCTCTTGTCTCTTCCTTAAGAGTTACTTTTGAGCGGAGAATCTGATTTAAGAAGTGGGTGATTAGGGTTGG